GAGCAGACGGTGACGTTCGTCTCCGGCGCCACCTACAACCTGCAGGAGCTGCGGGCGATGGGCATGAGGGACCTGCTGGGAGCCATGTTTGACTTCAGCCACAAGCTGGCGGCGCTGGAGCTGGACAGCGAGGAGCTCGGACTCTTCACCGCCGTGGTGCTCGTGTCAGCAGGTGAGCAAAGATCGCCGCCGCCGTAGATTAGCTGAAACGTATCGCAGTTATTTAAGCAACGTGTTGAGTGTTTAAGAAGGAAGTATAGAAAATCAACTTCCTGTTTGTAGCACATAACTACGGCGAGTGCAGGTGTAGCCCGAGTTTGTGTGGTTTAGCTGTTGTTGTTGTTTTCGATGCACGTTCAATCATCCAGGTAAGGAAATCGCTAAAAGTTGATTCTTTCATCTGGATGTTTTCAGAGGAGAAACGTTTCTCCATGTTGCTGCTGTAGTTGCACCAACTTGTTGAGTTGCAGGTTGTGCCAAGTTTTGGTGTAGTTGCAAAAGGTACCGTTTGTTCAAGCTGTTGCTGTAAGTGAAGCGTCGTGGTTGCAGTGATTTAGGTAGCAGCGGCGTATGTAGATGTTGTTGCCGTAGTTGATGTCTTGTGTTTAGTTGCATAGTTAATAATTTTTGGTTGTTGTGTGTCGAAGTTGCACATGTCGAGTTTGTTTTTAAACTGTTTAGTTGCAGCTGTTGCTGTAGATGTAGTGGGTGGAGTAGTCACCGGGTTTGGTTCAGTTGCAGTAGTTGTAGACGTAACAGTTGTTGCAGTTGCTGCAGATGTAGTGGTTGCCCGTTGCTCGCTGACCTGCCCTCTCCGTGTGGTTTCAGACCGCTCCGGCATCGAAGACGTGGCGTCGGTGGAGCAGCTGCAGGAGAATCTGATCCGCGCTCTTCGCTCGTTGGTCAACAAGTCGCCCGTCGCCCCAGAGAGCGAGCACCTCGACGTGGACTCGCCACGCTTCACCAAACTGCTGCTGAAGTTGCCAGATCTGCGGACGCTCAACAACATGCACTCTGAGAAGCTGCTGTCCTTCCGCATCGACGTTTGATGACATCACTGCGATGTCACCGCATCGCCACGCTCTCCAGCCCTTAACATCGCAGCGTCATCCAGACCGCATCGGACTGGCAGGATGATGATGTCATCAGCAGAACTTTGCAAGACATGCGTCTCCCCGCCAAAATAAAAGTCTGCTTTAAAACAGCTGGTTGATGTTTTAAAGGAGCAGGCTGCCATTTTTAAACCACACTATTTTAACCTGTGTAAGCCCAATCCGTTAGCTTAGCCTAGCCAGCCCAGTTCTTTGACTTTACTGGAGCGTCGCCAGCAGGAAGTCTGAAAGACAAAAGAAAGAAGCGTGAAGGACGTGGACGACGACAGTACGCTAACTGACGAGCTCACACAGGACAAACCTGTTCGTTCAGCTTCACTTCCACTTCCTGTTGATGTCATCATTCTGTCTGATTTTAGCTTCGTTAACGTTCATGATGAGTTCAGACGCTTTTAATTTGAAAGTTTTCCCAGCTGGAGACAGATGCACACTAAAAGTAGCTCTTTCAAACATCTGGACGCATCCAGCTGCTTTTAATGATTTTAAGGACTTTGGGATCAGCTCCTTCGATTTTCAGCGGCCGGCGATCTCTGACTGCGGCGGCCTCCACTTCCACTCTGCAGGAAACAGAAACTCTTCCAGTACGAACTGATTCATCCTGAACTTCCAAACTGTGGAGCGCCCGGAATGATGACTCCACCTACTACAGAGATGGAGGAGGCGGGGCGTGACCTGGCGACGCCTCAGACAAACCTTATGCAGCTGATGTTCTGTAAAGAAACTGTACATAGCCATGAACACAAAGATCCAGCTATACTTGAACTGTTTCCCTGAGATCTGTTGTACACAACTATTTTTGGTTAATATGAATATATGCCTGTGCAGATATCGTGACTATTAAAGTATGTACGAGCGAGGAAGTGCACCTGATGAAAGAAGATCTCTGATGTGTTTTAATCTGTGGTTTATGTTGTAAAGACGTTATATAAAAATGATATATAAATATATGCACACATGAGTCGTCCTGAATCTATAATATTCACACTGATCATAAAGACGTTACTGCGATGGACTGATGATTGGACGAGTCGGAGCTGAAGTAAAACGACCTTCAGTTTTCTCTCAGCGAAGCTCATTTTACCCACCAGCAGCGGAGGAGAAGCTGGAGTCAGTTACAGCGGCTGGTGGAGATGCTGTAGTGGCAGGGTTTGATGTCACAGACTCAAGCTGCTGCTGGTTGTAGTTGCAGCAGCTGTAGAGCGGGTGATGTAGCTGTAGAAGAGCCTGATTCGAGCTCTCTGTTATTGTACCGCAGCAGCTGTATGTGCTCTCTTCACGCCCCAAATCAAAATTGAGGAGGCTGTAAAGCAGCTCATGATGTTGGGACTAACAGTCACAAAAACTCATTTTACTACAGTAAAAACTTTTAAAAAAATCTGAAAACTGAACAATCAGTTTTATTTAAGTAGCGCCAAATCCCCATCCGTCCGTCAGTCAAAGAGACCACGCCCCTAATAATGAGTTTATTTTGACACGGAAGTCTATGGGACTGACTCACTGCTGCCTCTGCTGGGCACCACAGGAACTGCAGCTCTCAGTGCTTCCATGTTGGGTTTATTCTAGTTTATTTAGACACGAAGCTTCGTCTGTGTCACCTAGCTCACCTTTATTAGTGGAATATAAAGGTGTTTAGGGTTATATTCCAGTGGGTCTGAGCTCAGCGGCACAGTCTGCCCTCTGGTGGCGTTTTTGTGCCTTGCACTACAGTCACTGAAATACAACATCTAACATCGTCTCTTCACCATCACACATATTTATCTCTCTGTGAACTGTAAAGTATGAGAAGAAAAGAAAAAATATTTCATGTGTAATTTCAGGTTAAATGTTTAATGTTTCATATAAAAACGAGACACGTTGATGACTTATTAATTAAAACAAATGAAAAACATCATATTTCATATGAACTATAGGCTGTAAATACAGCAGCGCCAGCTTTCTCCTTCACCAGACTCCTTTGACTTTTTCACTGATTTTAGAGCCGCAGACTGTGACAAACAGACATCCACGTGTGTCTGAGCAGCATGAGGTGAAGCTGATCGTGATTGGTGGGTTTTTGGAGGTTAGTGTCCTGTTGGCTCTGAGCTTTCAGCAGTCAGTGGGACAGCAGGAGAAGAAGGAGAAAGTGAGTCACTCTGAGGAGAAAGTAGGTCGAACTGCAGCCTCATAATCAAACTTCCACTTTCTGGATTCTGATTGGCCAGCTGCATCTCGATCTCAGCATCCCCACTGCCCAATGAGCAGCCAGCGGGCGGAGACGAGCACTGTGTCCCAGTTTCAGATGGACTCGCACATCACTTCCTTTTAGTGCTGTGCGTACTTATATAACACGTTTACAGCCGTGTGGTGCGTCACCGTGACAACGGATCACTCTGATCACTGATTTACAGCAGCAGGAGGAGGAGGTCGTCAGGCAATAAACAATAACACAAACTGAGATGTTGCACACTTGTTTGTATGTGTGACACTGAGCTGCAGGCGCATGCTTCATAACCACACCTGCATGGTGATGATGTTTTCGCGTGGAAGCAGTCTCCACCAGACTCCAGTCAAAAATGTTCCGTTTTCACACGTTCACTTTTACAGTTACGTGTTTATCAGGGTTAAAGCTCCTTCACTGACGCACCAGACTCCACGCATATACGTGTATTTACAGCTAATAATAGCTGCTTTTATTACGCCTGGCAGCCGTCTCAAACCGTCTGCTCATCTGAGGAGATGCTGACAATCAGTAAATGCTTGGAGCAAAAACACGAAGCAGCCTGGCTTTCGTACGCTAACCCTCAAACCAAACTCCATTCACATTTGTGCTCATTTTAAACACGAACAGAATCCTTCACTTAGTCCACTCAGATATTTTCCTGATGTCAGTTTCCTACTGGTGACTCAGCAGCAGTCACACACGTCCACGTTCCGCTGTATTAAGAGTGGGTGAGATGTGCGTGGAGGGGAAACTCCGCAGTGATCTGCAGTAATCTCATTCTTCAGCCGGACTCCTGTGCATACACTAACCAGCAGCTGCTTTTACTCCACTGTCCTCTCACCAGACTCCGGGTGGACCTTTCCACACCTTGCTGTGACCAAAGATCAGTGAAAATCTAACTATGTGCCCAAGAGCATCAGTTTTACAGGCTGTAATTTAGAATTATTTGTTACACCAAACTCCGTTTAAGTTTTGGCTGATTTTACACTTCCGTGCATTTGAACCAAGCCCCAGTGAGAAACGTTAAACCTGTTAAACCTGCATGTTCTGCAGACACACGTGAGCTCCGTGGCTGTTTCCGTGTTTCTATGAGAACACGTGACCCGGTGTGTCAGCAGCAGGAAGTCTTCCCGCGGGCTGTGCTCGGTTTTCCTTCAGGAGCCGCTCTGTCTGGTTTCTGACGGCGTGACATGTCCCCGACATGTTATCTAATCACGCGGACATGCGTGTGTGTCTTACGTCACGTTGTACAGTATCGGTGTAGCAGTGCATGCTGGGAAGCAGCAGACAGCAACACGAAAGGAAACAGCGACTCCCGGTGGCAGCTTTACAAAATAAAAGCTTCAGCTGAAGAATTGAATGAACATTTTTTTCTGCTGGATTATAAATGAAAGAAGTTCATGAAATGTTTTCAAACATGGTTTTTTTAAGTTTACATTTAAAAACAGACCCAGCTCAAGCAGAAATGGGCTTTTAAAAACAGCCTTTCTATTAAAAACAAAAATGGTTTTACTCTGCAAACATGCTTTTATTGATTAAAATCCTCCAATAATTGGTTTATTTTTTCTCACAAATATTCCTTTAATTTGACATATTTACTGACAGTTTCATTATTCCCTAAATATTTTTTATACGTTTTTATTTTCAGTAGTTTTTCTTATTCTTTTATAACTGACTGCAAACAGAACTTTGTTAGAGTACATTTTATTAGTTTAAAAATGAAGTTTCTTCTGTGTGAAACTGATGCTTCTGTAAATTCTATAAACTTCTTTATTTATCAGAGACAAACTTCATGTTTCACACACCCAGTTTGTCCTGCAGGCAGAGGTTTATTTTCATGTCATGTGATCACAGACAAAAACACTTCAGGGCAGGTAACACATGTGCAGGTGAGAGAGCGACCCCCGGTGGATGTGTGAGAGAAGACAGGAAACGGTACAGGAGGAAGACGTCGTTCAGAGGAGAGGACTGCTGTAGAGAAACACCAACCACTCGGTCAGACGCAGCTCACCGCTGGGAGGCTTAGACACACACACACACACACACACACACACACACACACACACACACACACACACACACACACACACACACGTTCGTGTGAGACGCTGCAGCTGGAGCAAGAACACACGAGGTGAAATCAAAACCACTGAGATGAATGTTTGAGGCGGTCTTTGGGAGGTGGAGGTGGTGTCACGCCCCACCTGTGCAGGGTAACCACGGCGTCTCAAGCATCCTTTACTTCCCCAGACTCCAAGCCTCGCGTACTAACACACCTGAAACGCGATAATTTCACCTAAAAGCAGACTGTGAAGCAGCTTCCTGTTACCTTCAGCCCAGATGTGTCCACATGTTGCCCGTCCCGCCGAACGGACAGCAGGCGCGCCCGCCCCACGCGCGGGTATCCCTCCTCCACCTCCAGATGACACACCAGCGATGCCGTCTTCAGGTAGACGAGGAGGCGCTGGGCGGGGTGCCAGTCAATGGCGAAGCTGAAAGACAGATGGTGATTAAACGCCGTGGGAAAGAGGCCCCTCCCACGTCAATTCAATAATTGGTCAGCGCTTCACCTGGACCGCAGGCTCTGGATCTCAGACAACAGCTCGGCCTGCCCAACATAACACCGCATCACCTCCAGCAGGGCGGCGCTCAGCTCTACCCGTCGGCCCGTCAGGCTGTCCTCCGCGAGGCCCGCCGTTCCCTCGCTCACCTGAGGATCAGACGCCTTCATCACGCTCTATTTGAAGTTGGGCTACACATACTCACGGATCGATTGATCTACAGTTTGTAAGACACGCCCCTCGCATCTGTGACATCCAATCAGTTTTAATGAGTATTGATTGTTGATTGACTAACAGTTCTTAGTGTCAGAGGAAACCTGACATCACGCACACCTGTGTCCTTACCTGCAGTCTGAAGCGGTCGTCATGACTCCAGGTGACTGACAGCCTCAGCGGCTCCAGTTCATTGGACAACAAGTCAGAAGAGGTGTGTGGCCTGAGCTCCACACACAGCTCTGATTGGTTGAAGGCGAGCAGGTTGATCTGCATGACGTCCTGCGTGGTGCTGACGTACACCTGCAGCCTGCCAGGTGACAGGAAGTCAGGTTAGCGACCAATCACAAGGGCTTCAATAGAGTCACGTGACTTTGTGGCACTCACTCGTCTCTAAGTCGCTGCCACTCGATCAGGTGACCGAGCATCACCTCTGACTCCGCCCTCAACTGGGTCAGCTGAAGGTCACATGACTGCAAAGCATTCTGGGCGTTCAGCAGAGACGACTCCAGCTGCTCACTCTGCTGCCTCTGCAGGGAACAAGGAGACAAGGGCAGGAGGAGACAAGGAGAGGAGAGGATGAGGCGACAAAGAAAAGCAAGATTACCTGATGTTTCACCTCCTCGACTCTTAGTGACTGACGTTAACCTGTGTGTGTGTGCGTGTGTGCGTGTGTGTGCGCGTGTGGATACCATGTTTAGATGTCTTTCTGAGGACCAAAATTGGAATGTGACTGTACTTGTGGGGACCAGATGTCCGTCCCCACAAGATTGAAGACATTTTGAGGCTCAAAATATGGTTTTAGTGTCAGAGTTACAGTTAGTTACAGCATCATGTCAATGAGATGCCCCCACTAAGATATGAAATCAAGTGTGTGTGTGTGACCTTGCTATGCAGATGCTGAACCAGCTGTGTGAGTGTGTGTCGTCTGTCGTGGATCTGTTGGATTCTGTCCTGCAGAGATCTGAGCAGTGCCTCGGTCTCCTCCACCCCTGACCTGCTCTCCACCTTCAGGGCCTTCCACCTGCCCCGAGCCCCACCCTCTGACACACACACACACACACACACACACACACACACACAGTAAGTCACTTTCTTTGTGTTCTTTCCAGGTGAGACAGCACCACAGTGTGTGTACCTGGTTGGGGGGGGCAGGACTGTGCCATCAGTTGCTGGGCAGACTCCAGTCCTTCCAGCAGTGACATCATGGAGTCGAGGACAAACAGCTGACGCCACAGAACCTTCTGCATGCGACGGCGGTCCTGAACACACGTGACAGGACGATTTCAGGGACTGTTTTGATCTGTCAGCTGATTGTAGTAAATACAACATAAAAGAGATGATGTCACACAGAAATTAGAGCCAACTTAAAATAAACAATAAAACAACATCATAGAAACATGAGGGTGACACACTGACGGGGCTCAGTGTTCATACCCACTCACAGGAGCACAGGTATACAAAACATATTCCATAAACAAACACTCACAGTGTGTGTTCTGTTAGCACTGTGGACTTTATCAAACACACCAAAACATCTGGATCCTGAGCATGAGGAAGAAGACTGACTGAAGCTCAGCTCACTGAACCACTGGCACGCTCCACACTGCTGCCTGTGGGTCATGTAACACGGCAGCCATTTTTAATGAGAACAGACAAAGCAAAGCCTTCCGCCAGCGTCTCTCCTTATTGACGTTTCTCAGCCTCGTAGCTGCACTTCATGTATTTGTGGTGATTTTCATCAGACCCCCGTCTGTTTCTGCTGTCAGCCTGGAGCTGCTGAACACCTCCTCTACTTTATTCTAACATTGCAAGGATGGCTGTAGCACGGTGACGTGTTACACACACACACAGAGGAAACTGCTCAGTAACTGCGTGTGTGAGTATCAGCTGTCTCTGGTATGAACACTGATTGAAGTCCGCTCTGACAGGCTGGCCTCACTCAGGTGAGAAACTTGAAAACTTGCGACTGAGCCAACTCAGGGTCTGCTCTCCATTTCATTGTTTACGGTTTAACTATTCCCTCAGTGGGGGTCAGAGGTCAGGGTTTTGTGCGTTTTGCGAGGACTCTGATGTGTTGTGAGGTGTAGGCGGACTATTTTCTGCCACAGACCGTAAGGAAGAGCACCATCCGCGCCGCCTGGTCGCAGTCCGGCTCCGGTTCTCCGCGGGGCTCCAGCAGGGCCGGATCACAACGCCGAAGCACGCTGACAGCAAACAAACAAACGAACAAACGTCAATACTGAACCCTCGGTGACGCAGACCGTTAGCTTCAGCTGCTAACAGCTAATAAACTTCAGATTTTCAATGTTTTATTTCATCACGCGAGGCAGAAAACAGTCGCGTGACCCACGCTTCACGTGTGAAAAGGTTTCTGGAGTGGAAACAAACATTTATTGATGAGATTGATCACAATATATTAAATATTTTCAGACTTACGCTCGCACCGCCGCCATCTCTGTTTTCAAATATCCGCGCTCCCACCCGGGAGCTGATTGGCTCTCTGACAGTGACGCTACAGACAGTTAAGCCAATCATCGTGTTGAAGACAGCGACGCTCAGCGGTGAAAATTAATTTTTTTTTCACTTTTATTGTCACATCACATGTGCAGGTACATTGGTACAGCACATGTGAGTGAAATTCTTGTGTGCGAGCTTCACAAGCAACAGAGTTGTGCAAAATACAATAATGTAAACAAGCAAAATACAAGAATGGCTACATCTGAAACTAATAAATATATGTACAATATATAATAGTGTATGCATTTCTGGATGTGTATACTAAATTTTTTTCTATGTGTGTGTGTGTGTGTGTGTGTGTGTGTGTGTGTGTACACATATTTTACAAATTAAATAGAGTAAACAATGAATAGAATATATAAAATAAATAAAATAAAATATACAGAGTTGAGACATGTGCAAAACAGTGGCATTACTGTACAGTGTGGAGTGCATAATGTTGAAGTTCCAGTAGTGAAGCTGAGGTGTCTATGACGTGTTCAGCAGTCTGATGGCCTGGTGGAAGAAGCTGTCTCTCAGTCTGCTGGTACGGGACCGGATGCTGCAGAACCTCCTTCCTGATGGAAGCAGTCTGAACAGTTTATGGCTGGGGTGACTGGAGTCCTTGATGATCCTCCCCGCTTTCCTCAGGCAGCGCTTCCTGTAGATGTCTTGGAAGGAGGGAAGCTCAAATTTGAAAAGCACCCATGAAATAAAAGGGTTTAAACGTTAACATTTTTTTTCAATTATTAAACTTTATTGAGAAACAGTATACAGAACATGTATACAACCAGAATGTCTGTGAAGGTTCTCAGTCATCCAGGTCATCGTAGTCAAAGGAGCTTGCAAAGAAAAGCGTCTGGACTTCTTTAAGTTGCTTGAAGACGTTTCACCTCTCATCCGAGAAGCTTCTTCAGTTCTAAGGTCAAATGTTGGAGAGTTCCAGATATAAACCTAGTGGGAGTTTCCCCCCACAGAGGGACAAAAGGACCCCTGATGATCCTCTAATCACCTGAGCCAAGGTGGGAAACTGGGTGTGGGTCCCAATCAGCCAGAGTTTCGGGTGTGTTCATTGTGAAACCTGGCCCCACCTTATCATGCGAATTCCTGAGGTCAGATGGCCCAGGATGTGAGTGGGCGTTAAGGCGTCTGGGAAGGATCTCAGAACTGGATTATAGATGGCAGAGAGTTGGTGTCGTAAACCCCCACACACGGACCAGTACCTCCTCTTTGACTCCCATCACCCTCTGGAACACAAACTTGGAGTAATCAGGACCCTACACCACCGGGCAGAACATGTTCCCTCTAAGCCTGAAGGGAAAAAGAAGGAACACACACATGTAAAGGAAGCACTCAAAACGTGCGGCTATCCTAAATGGGCGTTCTTAAAGTCAGCAAAGAGGCACAGAAAAGAAGACCAGACACCAGCGAGGGAGGATAAGAAGGACAGACGCAACAACATTGTCATCCCCTATGTAGCCGGTGTATCAGAGAAACTCAGGAGAGTTTTCTCCAAGCATGACATCCCGGTGCATTTCAGACCCAGCAACACGCTCAGACACAAACTGGTTCACCCGAAAGACAAAACGCCAAAACACAAACTTAACAATGTGGTGTATGCTGTACAGTGCAGCGAGGAATGCTCAGACCTCTACATCGGAGAGACCAAACAGCCACTTCACAAGCGCATGGCACAACACAGAAGAGCCACCTCCACAGGACAAGACTCAGCAGTCCATCTGCATCTAAAGGTCAAAGGTCACTCTTTCGAGGATGCCAATGTTCACATTTTGGACAGAGAGGACAGATGGTTTGAAAGAGGAGTGAAAGAAGCATCTATGTCCACTGTGAGCGACCATCTTTGAACAGAGGCGGGGTTTACGACACCAACTCTCTGCCATCTATAATCCAGTTTTGAGATCCTTCCCAGACGCCTTAACGCCCACTCACATCCTGGGCCATCTGACCTCAGGAAATCACATGATAAGGTGGGGCCAGGTTTCACAATGAGCTCACCCGAAACTCTGGCTGATTGGGACCCACACCCAGTTTCCCACCTTGGCTCAGGCGATTAGAGGATCATCAGGGGTCCTTTTGTCCCTCTGTGGGGGGAAACTCCCACTAGGTTTATATCTGGGACTCTCCACCATTTGACCTTAGAACTGAAGAAGCTTCTCAGATGAGAGGTGAAACGTCTTCAAGCAACTTAAAGAAGTCCAGACGCTTTTCTCTGCAAGCTCCTTTGACTATACAACAAGAACAAAATGAACATATGCCAGGGGGTGTAATACAAAGAATTACATACATTCAAATAATTTGTAATTACTACAAATAGTAATAGTTTTCACAGCCTTTTTGTTAAGTGATCCACGAATCAATTTTATGTAACATAAAACATCATTATAGTAATGTTTAAAATTAGGCTTTTTGTTACTGTATTTGCATTTGTGAAAATAAAATTTAGCTACGATAACTAACAAGTTTATTATAAAGTAAACATCTTCTTTTTTTGCCTTCGAAAGAAACAAAATACTAAACAATAAAAACGTATTTTTTCAGGTTTAACTAATCCTGACGCAGAGGGGGAGGAGCCACGTCAGGTCATTCAGGTAAAACATGGAGTCGAGTGAGAACAGAGTGTACAAACTGGTGTATTACATTTAAACTTTTACATTTTTACAAAGGGTCAAGAGTCTTTACCCGAAAGAATTTTAAAAAGACGTTTAAATGTGTTTTATGAATAGAGAAAATGATTGCTGTTTTTGAGATTCTTTAAAAATTTACTTGATATACATTTTATTTGATATTATAAACTCATAATATTCTGATTGAACGCTCGTGATCAAGACAACATTTGATTTCGAGAACTTCATGTTAAAAGAGATCAAAACGAATCTCTGCTTCTCCTTCTCCTCTAACCCTCTGCATGTCCTCCTTCACTACAAAATAAAATAACAATAATCTTATAAATGCGCTCATTTGTCTTTATTAAAGGGAAATGGGTTTAAACTTGTAATTGTGTAATAAGAATGGCAGAATGCCGTTATTTTAGTGAGCATGCGCAGGTGCAGCAGCAGGTCACGTGTTCTTGTAGAGAAAAATAAAGAAATCTCTGCAGAGCTGAGGCTAACGGCGGAGTTACGGTCCTCACGGCGGAGACTCCGAGAGTGAGAAAGCAGCCAGCGAACCGAGAGAAGCATGAGCTAGGCCACAGAGACGCGGTGACGCTCACAGGTACCGTTTATTCACCTCACCTGTCCGAATGTGCTCAAAGCTAACGCGCATGCTAGCGCTGAGCTAGCAGATTGGGCTCGCGATGGAGCTAACTCCGCATACTGATCAGCCTCTGCGGGGGGAGGATTGCACGGATAGATGTTGGTCACTGTGCACACAGCTGGAGGGGAGCGCGGTGAGGAGGATGAATCGTTAGCCCAGCATCCTAGAGAGACCCGGGCCGGTTAGTCCGGAGCCAACCCCCCCGCCCCCGGACCCGGGCTGGTGGGGTCCAGTGGAGGCAGAGAAGCTGTTCAATAGTTCAGGTTTGACCAACAGAAAACTGGTTTAAGCCACCAGGTGAATCCAGGTTGAAGCCTCAGGGTTCAGGCCTCCATCACAGGAGCAGCCGCTCATCAAAGCGCATCAAATCTGACGTTTCTGACCCTATGCGACCCATCTATCCGATCATGGTCTGACAGTGTGAACGGCGCAAATCCGATATTTTCAAATCCGATCTGGGTCACTTTCGTATGTGGTGCTGAATCCATCCAGTGAAACTGTTGGGAAGACAATGTTGGAGAAACGTGAACATTTTATTTGTTCTGTATAATCTGCAGACTGACAGAAATCTGCAGCTAGAAGCAGCGCTCCTCTAAAACAGCAATAAGGATCATTATTAGGACAAATGTAAATAACAAGATAACTTAAAGCAAAACTGGGAAACGTAAAGTCAGAAACAGTCAAACACTGTTTGTTTGGTCTAAACGGAGCGCGTTGTGTGTGACGTCTTCTTGTGCGCATGCTGCTTTGAGCGTTCACACTAGAGCGCCTTTGCTGTCGCATTTTATTTGTAGTGTGAACGAGCAGACAAAGAAGAACAGCATTGTCAGGAAGGTATTGATCGGATTGTGTGTCTGTGTTTCAGGTGATCAGGTGTGTGTTGTATCAGCTGCAGGATGCCCATCCCTCCTCCACCTCCTCCTCCACCTGGGGGACCCCCGCCTCCCCCCACCTTCAGCCAGGTGAGCTTTCTCTCATTCATAACCTGTGAGCCTGAGAAGACTTGCAGCATGTCACAGTCTGGTTATTTAACTCCACCTCCATCTCTCAAAAGGCTAATACCAGCCCCCCGAAGCTGAGCAAGGAGGAGGCCAAAGGTCGTGGCGCGCTGCTGTCGGACATCTGCAAAGGCGCCAAGCTGAAGAAGGTGGCGGTGGTAAACGACCGCAGCGCCCCGCTGCTCGACAGTAAGACTCAGACACCAAAGAGCCAAACAACCCCCACTGAGCACCCATACATTCGCTTATACCAGTACCTACACCAGCAGCAGAGCCTGCCCAAACAGCAGG